TGGCGCCGCCTGTTGCCGCTGAGTGGCGCCGCCTGTTGCCGCTGAGTGGCGCCGCCTGTTGCCGCCGGCGGCCCACTCAATATCGATTGAAAGCCATATATGACATATTGTTCACAGGCTGAAGTGGATTCTGATGCGTGAATCTGGTAAATTATATCACAAGTACCCATATGCTGAGCCATATTTGGAATACTGTGTTGCGTACACTCTCGTTATATACTTAAGTTATAACTCTCGGGTGGTAACCGTCCCCATATATGTTATATGTCATCACATATAACATGGAGAGAAAGGTTGCCTACGGGCAGATATATTCCCCTTAACGGCAGCTAATGTCATATTTGATATTCCTTACTGTCTATTGCTGGACTAAACAATCTCAAAATGAGTATTACATATTGCTTTGGCTGTATATTACTTCTTACGGTTTGACATTCACGACCGGGTTCAGGTCAGCATCATATATTGAGTTGTCCGATGTGTAAACCCGGCAATGGCGTTGCAACCTGAGCGGCTGACACAAGTACTGGCCTCACGTGCCGGTCCACATTTCCATCCACAATCGCATAGAAGGCTTCTCACTCTCATCTAGTCCCAGCTACTACTCTTCTCTCTCTCACTGGGTGCAATTCCCATATTGAGCCACTGAGAAAGTGTGAAAGAAACCGGTCAAAGGTCAAATTTTGTTCATAGTGTTGCCTTGCGAAACATATGAAAGTTCAATGAATAGTGCTGAACAAAGAACATATCCTGTGTCACAATCAGATTTTTGCACAATCAAAAGTAGTATTATTCTAATTCGGTTCACTGATTGTGCAATGGACAATCATGAAAAAAGTTTGACCTTTGACCCGTTAATTTCACAGGTTTCTGCATGCTCAATATGGGTGATGTACCCAGTGTCTACCACAACCCCGGTCGACCTGGTGTGCACCAACTAAGTATTTTGCTACTATTACCACTTGTCAAGATGCTTATAAGGTAGCTGCTAGAGTACATTACGCCAGTCCAAAAGGGATGAACGATTATTGTGCCATAAAGAAGGTAGGAATCGAGAAGGATAGGCCATGCCACGACCCGATAAATCTACGCCATTGGCCAAGATCATAGAATCACAGAGTAAGGTCTATCTCCACTTCACTGTCATACGCCGAAAGCCCGCTGCCCTGAGAGGACGAAGCTGTACGGTACCGGTTCTGGCTTCTCGCCTGCCCGTTGGCTGAGGACGGAGCAGACGATTCGTCATCAGAATCACTCATAATCTCGATAAAATCGCAGTCGGAACGGGCGCTCGAGACTTGAGGAGGGGAGTCCAGGGTACGAGCAACTTGAGCTTCAAGAGGCAGTAAGTCCGGAAAAGACGAACTCGAAGTAGCAGCAATGGCACTCTTCCGCTTCATCCCTCTAGAAGGCTTGCTCGAAGCCGAAGAAGCAGCAGTTGGCGCAGATTGCCTAGCTTTCTTCCTCTTCTTACCCGCACCCACCGCCATAACCTGCTCAAAAATCCGATTGAACGGATCGGAAGGGTTGTCGAAGGTGCCAAACTGGTCAGATGCGGCGTCCCGCGTTGGCCGAGGCTGCATGGCTGAAACGGCAGAAGATGATGACGCTGTTGGTCCGGCCGTCCGAGCGATACCGACCGCGACAGTAGCGCTTGAGGCAGACTGTCTAGGCTTCCTTGGTGCTGCGGCTCTTTGTCTGCCTGTGGCCATAATTTCCTCGAACATCTGGTTAAACGGCTTCGACGGGTCATCGAGGGCTACGCTGTCTGGATTCGCGAGAGCAGGAGCCGGTCCCGTCGCTTGGCCTTTGTCCTTCCTGCTGCTTATCTGAGCTGCCTGAGGCATGATGACCGGTGCGGATGCCAATGTTGGGGTGAAGTCGGCATCTCCTATACCAGTACTCGCCACCAAAGCCAGCTGGCGATCCAACGCAATCATTTGGTCAAACAGCATGTCAAAACGGTCCGGAACGTATGGTGTATCCCCTCCGTCGTCTCCAGGCTCCAGCATGTCGGGGTCATCGGAGTCTGCAAACCAGAGCAAGAAACCAGGGTTCGCCCACGCAGATCTCGAGGGCACTGGCGCGTTGTTCTTCGGCGCTGTCATGTGTGCTCCTGTTCTCTGTGAGCTTCCCGATACTGCGGCAGCCGACGCTGCTCTCGAGGCCACTGGCGCATTGTCTGTCGGCGGTGGCCTGTGCACTTCTGTGGTGTGTGAGCTTCCCGGTGCCACAGCACTTGAGCCTTGACTACTGGGCAAATCATTGTCATTGGCTTTGGACTTCCTTGGAGCCCGTCGACGCTTCGGCGCGGGCGCCAGAGGCTCTATCATATCTTCCTCATCAGTCTCTTCTTGTGATGCCGGTCTTCCTCTCTTATTTCCCTTCTCTCTAAGCGAGGTCTCATAGTCCTCGACGAGATCCGGATGCACCTGCCTCATCATCGGCGCAGGCACCCACATCCGCGTCTCGCCGAGCGGATCTACCTCGTGCTCCTTTCCCTTCTGCGCATCGGAGGGCTCAGGGCGCTTGCCGGTGATGCCTGAGTTTGCGAGGGCAACGAGTGGGCCTGGCTTGAGCACCACATGGTATTCAAGCAGTCGGTCGGTGGAAGCGTGCTGTCGAGTGCTGACAATCTCGACAAGGAGGGGGTCGTCTTTCGGGACTGTGGGCACTGGCGCGGCTCGAGCTGTGTTCTGTGCAGCAGCGAGCCCAGAGGATCCAGGAAAAGCAGCTCGTCTGCGCTCCTCTATTGCGTTGCCAAACTCCGTATTCGACGAGCTAGCTGTCGGCTCGAGATCGAGATGCATGCTCAGGATCCCAGCTGACGTGCCGACGGTGTCTTCCCTTGCAGGAGTCAGCGCGCCCCGAATCGCCTGTCCCGGCTCTCCACCAGCGGCTATCCTCCTGGTTTTCTCCTTCTCATCCGCCTCGAGAGCCGCACGGCGTAGCACCCTCATCACACACGCCTCCCACAGCACGCTGCGCAACCTGTACAAGATTTTGCTCCTGTACCCCCATTCGAAACTATCTTCACAGAACCTCGCAATGCGTGGGACATGCAGGGAGCTCCTGTCACGCAGAGGCCCGCCCCCCTGCGGGCTGATACGTGGTGCCGCGTAGTTCTCCAGGACCTGTAGGTCGGGGAAGGAGACGGGAATAGTGACGGATGTGCATCTGTGTGGGAGGAGGCCGCGGGAGTTCGTGCGCAGCTCGGTGGTGATGTCGGCCCGCCATTGTGCGAGGAATGGTTGGATGGGCTGTTGGGCGCGCCGCTCGAAAGCGGTGAGGAGTTGGTCGCCAAAACCCGCGCGGGCGAGGCCGTGGGCTATTTTCTCGCCTATCCCAGGAACTCCCTGGTGCATTCCTTGAAGTCAGCGGACGCCCCAGAAGGAAACCGATCCCCACTCACAACATCGTAGTCACCTCCTTTGAGGAGGGCGAATAGGATAAGTCCACCACGGGTCAATCCAATACTAGGATGCGTGCGAATGTCGTCTGCATTGAATACCATAACATGGTGCTTGCTGACTTTGCCATCAGCATCAGTGGCAGGCTTGGACTTGTTCCCAGACAGCTCTTTGCTCCAGCTGCATATCATAAGCGCCACAAAAATACGTTGAGAGAGCTGCAGCCACGTACTTCTTGATAACTACTCGAGCACCGAAGATGAAAGTGTCGACGTCGTCTGTCAGAATCGCGTCTATGATTCCTATCTGGTTCAGGCGAGCGAGTTCAGCCTCTGCCTCCCCGTACGCCTGAAGTAATGCACATCAGCTGTCTGCGATATGAATGTAATGTGAAATTGACAAACCACCCGCCACTCAAACCCAAAGTGGCCAAGCATCTGCTTGAAGGCGTCCGTGAGCCCATGGGACCCAGATTTCCCCATCCTACTCCCCCTCTTCACTTTCGGACGTTCCCTCCCGTCGAACACAAATAGCGGCAGCAAAGGTAGCTCAGCCAGCTTCGCCAGGCGGAAAAAGAGAAGGCGCAGCTGCGGGTTTTCGCCACCCTTGCTGTAATACGAATGTGTGAACCATATACTGGTGTCGATACCCACTCTATACGCGCGTCGTCCGGATGTGTTGCGCTCAAAGCCGTCCACGACGGCTATGTTCATCAATGACCTCGACTGCCCGACGGGTTGTATGACCTATAATGTGGCCACCGCTCAATATTTGTGCATTTGCAGCGCGGAGACTGGCCACGTACCTCCCACAAACCTGGTACGCCCATGCTAAGATATTCGACGTATCAAGGAGGCGGAAAAGGTCTCGCTTTGGAGGAAATCAATTGTGAGTATGGAATACTGTATGTATCGCGGCGATAGAGTCCGAGGCGTTAGCGCGCGTCGCGAAGCCAGGAAGCGCGAAGTCTAAAGGTAAAACGCGATCAGTCACGCATCTTGTCACGCGTAAATGAACGTGTCGAATTACCTATTGAAGTTCGAGTGTAAATCAATAACTAACCTGGATCGCTGAGAAGTACCGCCGCAGCTCATTCGTTCGAAGAGGTCAAGGCACCGTCAAGCTGGCTCAAAGGGACGGCCGTTGTATGGCACCTGCCACACGAGGGCCACAGCCGCCCACCATTACAATCTTCGCCCTCACAAAGTTCGATACGGAAGGAAATTCACCAGGCGTCTCTTCCACTTGCTACCGTATGTTCTATACATATCTAAACGTGCCATATAAAATACAATCCGAATGCAATGCAAATGATTCTACCAATAACCTGCTGCGGCATAATAGGATACTCACGAAAGTCGAAACACGACACGAACAACATCCTCACTCCTCCAGGTCGCTAGCATCACTAGCATTGCTGCTCGTATCACTCTCATCCTGTCCCCAAACAGCAAACGCCCGATGCCCCGCATCCCTCGATCGGGACCTCGACCGCTGGCTGGTATCGTGGTGATGGTGATGATGATGTTGGTGCCCATTCTGCACCCCCCTCCTCATCTCCGCCACCGTCGGCGTCTTCATCTCCTCCACATCCCGATCCCTCGGAATCTTGCTCTTTCCACTGGTCAGCTCGCTCGTCGGCGAATGAATATAATCCCTAGCCCCGACCACGTCGCTCGCTGCCGGTGGACTCTGGAACTGGACATGCCGCGAATGCACCGGCGGCGGGTGCGGCACGGGCCCGCTAAACCGGTCGGGCGTCTCCACGCCCGAGTGCACGCCCGAGCGAGAGCTCGACGGGCTCATGAACGGGTTCCCCTTCGACAGCGCTTGGGCCGCTGCCTCTGCCGCGGCCTGCTCCACCGCGTCCTCTTTCGCCTTCTCCCGCGCGATCTTCTTCTCGCCCGGCTCCAGCGCGTTCTCCACCTTCACCTGCGGCTCGCCGTCGCTCTTCTCCTCCTCCGCGTCCGTGTTGTCCTCTGACAGGTCGCGGATGTCAAAGTCCTCTGTATCCTCCTCTTCCTCGTCGCACTCGTCATCCTCCTGGACAGGCGACGGCTCTGGCTTCCCGGACGACCCGACCGTGGACGGCTTGGATATCGACCGGCTCTGCGCTTGCGCCGGGCTCTCTTCGACGACCACGAAGGACTTTTGCCTCTCGCGCTCGTTCCACTTGAGCGTCCGCGAGATTGCGTGGAACCAGTCCGTCGACTGCTTGTCCGCGCACACGGTTGGGAACGGATACTTGGAAGCGGTCACCTTGATATGGTCGCCCTCTGGTTCACACGTAGGTGAGATGCATCCTTGAATGTCGCAGAGATAAATAACTCACGCTTGAGCTCGACGCGACCCCGCCCGTCGAACGATGCCCAGGCGGTACTCCGGGAGTTGAAGGGCACGCATATCCGGACTTCCATGCTGTCCGGTACGAGCATCGGCCGGAACGATAACGTGTGAGGACAGAGCGGGGTGATAAGGATAGCTGGGATCTCGGGATGGACGAGGGAACCGCCCGCTGACATCTAGACCGAATATTAATAGACGCTCGAAGAAACTGAAATATGAACAGTACCGAGTAGGCAGTTGACCCGGTAGGTGTAGAGATCGTCAGACCGTCCGCTTGGACGGTCGTCAAGTGATGTTCATCACCTGTAACGAAGTAATCAGCAACGTACATTGCTATTCAAAGGGGAGACGCACCAAACAACTCCAATAAACTGACATACGGACTCGGGCCGCGATCCACCACCAGATCATTCAGCACCTCGAAGCTCTCGACCGGCCTCGTCGAGAAGCACATAATCTCCTTATCCTTCTTCTTCCCCTCCTCTTTCCCATCCGGCGTGATATGGCTCCACCCACCCTCGATCGCCTCCCACCCGCCCTTCTCGAGGTTGCGCATCAGGATCTCGCCCGTGTCCGCCTTCTTGATCGCCTTGCGCTGGCGGCCCTTGTCGGGCGCGACAGCGCGGTACACCGTGCACGTGAAGCGCATGCGCAGGTTCACGCGGATGCCCGAGTCGATCACGCTGTCCATGACGGACTGGTGCTCCGCAAAGTCAAAGTTGGTGAGAAAGCCGAGCGAGCCGAGGGCGAAGGGGAGGACGGGTGGGACGATTCGCTGGAAGAGCCAGGACGTGAAGAGGACGGTGCCGTCGCCCCCGAGCTGTGTCGAATACGGTTACTCGGTGTGCCGGTGCTAGAACAGGCAGGACTTACGGTTACGACAAAGTCAAAGAGGTGCGGACTGCGGCTGCACATCTCCGCCGTCCAGTATCTGAGCTGCCCCTCGTCTTTCGGGAACGCCGCGTCACCTGGGGGTGATGACCCGTTCGAATTCGAAGAGGAGCTGCTGCTGCTCGTTGACGTCCTGCGACGAGGGAACGGCACGAAGAACTCCGGGTGGTCGCGTTCGATCCCGGCAGCGTCGAATCGGCGCGACGTCCGTAGTTGGTTGTCAACGTAGCTATCGACTTGTCAGGGTGCTGAGTATTGAGTGTGCCAGAACAGCAAACATACACTATCAGACCGCGTCCATTGTCGGTCTTCTTGGACATGAGGTAGACTGCGAGCTCGCGGGTAAGTTTGATGAGCCGGTTGTCTCTTGCTTTCGTGACGATAAGGACGCTATGGATGATGGAATGGATGCGTGCGCGGCCTAAGCCCGCCGATTAGATACAAAATCAGTCTTACACTGAAGGACATACCAAGTTGTTTGCTCATTTCCCGGACTCCCACCGCCGTCTCCGCCAACTGCCTCGTCAAGCTCATGTCACGATCCTCATCATCCTCGTCTTCAAACACACTGTTGTCATCCGACCTGGTCCCATCCGGATACGCACCATGTATCGGCAAATGGCCGTTGGTGAGGCTCCTGGCGGGATGAGGCCGCTGCGGGTGCTTCTGGAATGCACCCATGGCGGGACTCTGCAACGATTTCGCGACGCCTACGCCTCCACTCCCGCCCTGTTTCCCTGACTTTTGTTTCAACCAGTCCCCAAACGATAGCCCCTGGTCGAGCCGCGAGTGCACGAAACACGGGCTCTTGAGCGTGTTCTGATTGTCGTGATGGGAACTCGTCCCTAATCGTGGCGGCGCTGAGGGAATTCGGTCGGACTGATGAGCATTCGGATTGCTGTTCGTAATCGTCGGGCCCGGGCTCATAGAAGGGGGGAACCCGTTCGTCCCGTTCGCGTTTCCGTTTGCCTGTTTCTGATTGTGAGCGCGGTTCGGGGAGCGAGTGAACTCAGGCGATTGCTCGTCGAGCACGATATCAGGCGTCCAGTCCGCAGACTCAATGCGCAGATTCGAGGGCCGGCTATTACGCCTGGACAGCGAGGGCGTGAGCGGTGCCGGGGCGTGCGCGTCCATCGGCGTCGACGGCGGGGTCGAAAATACGTCCGTGTCCGGGGAAAAGGGCTGGGCCATCGAGAACTGGATCCAATACCCCTCTGCTGATGATCTAGAAGGGGTTGTTGTGATTGCGATTGCGCTCCTGCTGCTTTTGAAGCCGCTGGACAGCAAAGCGATACGGTTGCGTACGTTGTCCGGGCGACAGCCGCGATGGCAGTAGCACAACTGTCGGGGAAGAGGAGGCGGAAGGATATTGCAGCAGATATTCGACTGGATGTAAGTTGTAACTTATATAGGGCGCGCGCCGCCGCCTCCTCTCACGACTGCCTCCTTTGCCTTTTGCCTCCGTCATCATGATCTCTTCGACGTCGGCCACGACGCAGACGGGCGTTCTGGCAATAGATCCTTCGTCATCGGGATTCGAGACGACTTTCACAACTAGCAGCCCTCCCTTTCCTGTAGCTATGAACGCTTTCATCGGCACACCAGAGCCGTGAAGCCGTGCGTGTACACCAGGCTTTAAACATACTGGACTACTGTGCCGAAGACCTTCTAATGTTGTATCCCTCCATTTACCCCCGTCTCCAAATCCTTGCAATTGGTTGGGCACTCGCATATCAGATATCGGCTTTCACTCTACTTGTAACCGGCAGCTGGGGTAACAATCCGCAGTCATGAGAACCACTGCGATTGGCCCGCGCGCACGTTCGTACCACGGCGTAGCCACGGCAACGGTGAGTCCAACGGGTACCGATCATTATCCTTCAGGTTGCCACGATCCTCCAGCGTCAAGCCAACCAGGTCCAATGAAGCGATTGGCCAGGGAATACGAGCTGTTGTTTTCACAGTAGCAAGCTGATTGGCTTCCGATATCAGTCATAATACTTATAAATCAGCTTGGGTATCACAGCTCAACGGAATCCAAACAGCAGAGGCTACGCAGTAGTGAGTTGCACGTGTAGATGGTAACTGATGAAGACCAGAGCGGGTACAGGTGCCCAAGTCTATTCAACTACTGAGCTGAGGTGAGCTGCAACAGGCACGGCACTGGTATCCCAACAGTAGATCTATGATGAGCAGACCAAACATCTTTGATCAAAGCTGTCAGCCCCCTCATATTGTTCAACAGTCAAAGCCAGAGTCTAACACCACAATCATGATTCAGATTGGTGCTTTGATGGTCCTTCCAGGGATACTCAACTCCCGGATTTCGTGACGGAAGAGTGCCTCGCATTCACGTGAGAGTCTCCTTGTGGCTTCGTCTGAGAGTGAGAAATGATCCTCTGTGGAAAGACTTTGAGCTAATGTGGCACATGTGGTGTTGACCCACAGAGGGAAAGTAAACAAGTGCAAATAGCCATGGTATTCATAAAATTCATTTATGAATATACAGCTGATCTGGCTCGGGCTTGAAGCCAGGCCGGGCACAACACTAATCGTGCATTCCAGCAGCAAATAGCTCGATCTTATACTGTACAACCACTGGCTTGTCAATGACACCTCTGAGGAAGTGCGCAACCTGCGACAGAGCAAATATCAGAGAGCAAATTTGACTGGGGGGGGGGGGAACGGGGTTTACCTGACTACAAGACACTAAGATAGGGCTGGCTCATATACAACTACTATTGTGTGACTATTTTTGTCACACTTGGCAGGGACAGCACAAAATCGGTCTTATAGGTTTGGGCACAGGTAGAAAGTCATGATGTTTCTTTAGGAATAAAAGATACAGTACATACAAACAGTTCCTGTAAAAACATTTGAGGATTTCGACCCATGGAGCTTATAATAAGCTCGACAGTGGTGATTTCTATTGATGACCTCCTCGATTTCCTTACATTGACATGCCATAAACACGTGACTGTCACAGTGTGACCAAGATAGTCATGTATGAACTATCCTAGCATTCGCACATCGAGGCATGACAATATCTCGGTGATGAGCTCGACAGTGAGCTTAGTTGGAGACATGGATCGAAGCAGCTGACTAGGAAACAAATATGGCAGAAGAGGGCCAATGCTATGCATGGCAGGTTCGAGTCCTGAGCAATCTGAGTCATATAATTTATTATAGACTTAGTGCTGTGGCATCCCAGCAATCCGCAAAACAATGTGTGAGCAGGTATGTTGGGACACCCATATTGTGGCTCGGGTGACACCTGTATTGTCTTCTGTCGGAAATTTCGAAAAAACCTTATCGGAAGTTGTAAGAACTTATCAGGTCCAATAAGGCCATCAGGTCGTTAATACTCATATTAGGTTCGAAAATATGGAATAACGCGCTACCAGCCTGACGGAGCCTGATCAGCCTGACGCTACCTGATCAGGTCTTATGAGGCCTTATAGGGTTTCCCACAAATAATAATAAAAATCTCACTTCACTTCCGCCTTCATTGTTCCCCAACTCGGCTGATTTTGTATCTCTCTCCTTACATGCATTTTATGGTCCAATTACCATCTTAGGTAATGTGAGTGCACTAGTCAGGTTCAAACACAGGGCCGCCAAGTCGACAGAGAATTAGGTCGCGCGAGTTAACTACTATACTAAATGTGCAATACCAGATGTGAAACAAATCATGCTATATACCGTCATTTGGTTCCTTCCGTGTGTATGGGGCATATGCAACACCACTCCATTATTATAATCCCGCAGTACGGGGGCATCGTGGTAATGCACTGAATTCACAGTTGCATAGTACTAACTTACTTTAGGTGCAAGGTACTAAAAACATGTATACGAGACCGGAAACACTGTCACATCTTATCGGGCCTGATACGTCCTGACCAGGATAGAAACCAAACCCTATCAGGCATTATAAGACCATCAGGCTTCATCAGACCTGATTTGGGTTTTTGGATTTTTCCGACATTCAATAGGCTGCCTGGATATACTCGAGGCATCCAGCCTCAGCAGTGGGCATGTTGTCAACATTTGTGCTCATATCGACTCTTTTACCATGGATACACAGGCAGACAAAAGTATTTACACTGCCACATGTGTGGTAATTATTCTATTTATCCCAGTGTGATGAATATAGCTAAAAAAAACCTGTTGCACATCCAGGATGCTTGTTATCTGTAGTTTCTGATGTCACCATTATATGGGCCCAATACCCCTTGGAACAGGATCATGAATTACAAATATGTAGTATCTGAGAGACCTATGGAAGATCAGCCCTCTCTGAATAGGAGAGGTCCAAGGGATGAGCCTGGCATATTGGGATACCTTAGGGGATTTACTCCTTGCTCTAACCACAGGCAAGGATATTGGGATGGTTTAGGGGAAATGGAGGAGGGCACGGAGTCACATCAGCAAATCTTCCCATAACTGGTATCTGAATACCATTAGCATATAATCAATTAAAATAAGTACCGGTATTACAATATGTACCAGACTTGTGGACGGCTGGGCCAGCCATTATATTCGGATGGCACATGTTGCAAGACTCCCACAAGAAGTACAATATGTACCAGACTTATACATATTACAAGCTCAGGCCAGCTTGCTTTGACCCATAATCAGACTATCAGCTGTCTTTTGCTTGATATTCCAGATCCCTGGAACAAAAAGGGGGGCATTGGCTGATGAACACAATAAACAGTGTATAATTGCTCAGACTAGCTACTAGACAGGATTTGCTATGGCTAGACATTCAACACAGTACTATCTGCTGACCCATACCCTCCACACAACCTACTCAATGGAAAGCAAGCCA